ATATAAATTTGGCCCGAACCTTTTGAATGGAAGGAATCACAAGGACAGAGTCCCCGCTAAGCTGAGCTTGTTAAGCGTTGAAACCTGCCATCTATCCTCCGATCAAGCAATTCCTGGTCTATTGCAGACTATGGTTTTGAGGTTTAGTCTATGGCAAAATGGTCTGTGGTTTAGAGTCCAAATTTTAACGTGCGCACATAGCCTCGCACGGCCGGTCCCCTCGCTGACTTCGCCTGGCAGCGGCCTGCCACTAACCACAACCATACCCGTCAGGAGGCTAAAAAACGTCAAGCACACGTCGTGTTTCGAACCCGGACTTTTGCAACCGGGACGCGCGCCTTCACCACATGGCACATGGAGTCCAACGCTCTACCGACCGAGCTACCGGGACGGACATCTACCTTGGGGTTTCGCCTCGTGACATTGACAGACGTCAGACACTTTGGCCGAACTTTAGCCGAAACACTGAGCAAGCTGCGCAAGGCGATAGGTGCTCGTAGCGTTAAGGTTGGATAACCTGTGAGCTGAACGCGATGTCGTGAGTTCGAGCCCCGCTCCCGGGTCTGGTTTTATCTAGACACAACCAAACCTTTCCTTCTACTGCAACACAGCTAAGCACGATGACATCTTTCCCCAATATCTTTCCCCAATATCCTCCCCAAAAGTCAAAATTATCGCTTATAAACGTTTAGCTAAGTTTCATTTTTAGGAAAATATTTTTGGTCATTTGTCTGGAGCCATTTCAACTCTTTTTTCTTTTCTGATTCTTTTCGACCCGATAAAACCCACCAAAACTGAACGTGCCAAATGAAAAATATCTAACTCAAATAACAGTTTAGAAAAGCCTCATCATGCATCACGAAAAGCATCATGCAACTATCGACTGAGAAGTTGAATGCTATGAATACGTCCTAGATTGTTTCAATTATCATTGTTCAACATTTTGGCTGGAACTGACGCTGCCTCTGGCTTGCCCGTTTGTTTGAGATAATCATTCCCTTCAGTCGCGTTCTTGCCGGTTCCACATGAACAGGATACCACCATACCGGAGTGAACGCACCCGCAACCATCATCCCCTCCCCTCAGCCTCGGCGCAGTGGCGGGCGGCCCTGGGCGGCCCACTCCCGGCGCTACGCACGCCCCATGCGCCGTGATACCGCGTCACTCCCCCTCCCTCCTTCCCCACAATGACCGGTGACCTCACTTCCCTCGGGATTTGGACTCGCCCTACCCCGACCGTAGCGCCACGTGGTGGCTCTGGAGATCTTAAATAGACCCACTGTACAAAATGTGTATCTCAGAATTTTAAAATCGATGACCTGAGGTCAGGTCAATTTTGCGACCTCCCCATTATAAGTCAAGTTGGGAGAAAATTGAAATGCGCCTCTTTTGGACGAAAGACATTATAAACACTCCCAAGCACCGAATTACAAGTGGTTTAGACACACTGAATATGAAAATGGTATCCGTGACCCTTGTTTGTGCCCTGAGGTCATCTTAGGTCACGAATGGTATCTAACAATTTTTCGCAAATAACTTTTGATAGAGGCATGCTAGAGCGATGAAAACGCCTTATATGTGTTCAGTTCGACGATACGGATCGACTGATATGCAACATGACCCTTTCCGGTCAGGTCATGACCTTGACCTAAGGCCAAATTTTCAAGTTCATCTTTAAAGGTCAAGTTATAGTTCATTCGATGCGTCTTGACGAGAGGAACACGATGCCGGTGAAAGGAAGCTCGTACAAGGCTTGGGTCAAAAGTTATTGCAGAAAAACTGTTTCCGAAAAAGATCGGCTATTTTTGCAGTTTTTGCCCCCTGCAGGCAAAACCGTTGACGTTAGGTCAAATCTGAGGGATTTACTCAGAAAGGGCGTTAATAAGGCTATCGAATGCACTTTTCCGTGGCGCTGTAGCTCTATTGGTTCCCGAGTTATGCGTTGGCTTCTTGGAAATTTTCGACATTCGACCTGGAAATCGGCGAAATTTTGCCTTCAATGACCTCTGGTGACCTCACCTTTGACCTGACCAAAAAATTGACCGAAGTGATTTCGTCATTATTTTTTACGCTCTTTGGAACGCCGCCTTCCGCGTATCGCTACGTGGCCCAGGAGCCGAGTTACAAGGGGGGGGTGTTCAACCCCCCCCCAGCAGGGCGTGGAAATCCAGGACCCCCAGCGGGGCGCGGGTTAAAAGCGGCAGCGCTCCGTGTCGGTGTTTTTTTAAACTTATTAATAACTTTTAGCTTTAACTTTACCAATACCAATACTTACCAATACATACGTATACACCTATAGGCAATAGACGTACGGCATCATTTTGAAGGAGTGTGCAGCAGAGTTCACTGTGCCGATCACAAAACTCATTCGACTTTCGCTGAGCCAGGGCACTTTTCCTAGAGTCTGGAAACGCGCGTACGTTACCCCGGCTCACAAGAAGGGTGACCGCAAAAATCCCAGCAACTATCGCCCGGTTTCCCTCTTGCCGATTTGTTCCAAAATATGTGAGCGCATCACATGTGGCCAAGTGATTCAACACGTGTCGCCCGTTTTATCCTCAGCACAGCACGGTTTTTTAGCAGGACGTTCATGCGAGACCAATCTTACCTGTCTTGTCGATCAGCTGTGGCGTTCGATAGCCGAGGGGGCTCAGACTGACGTAGTTTATACGGACTATTCGTCGGCTTTTACTAGTGTTGACCACTCTCTGCTTTTACATAAGCTACAGAAGTCAGGAGTGCCGGAGCTGGCAGCATATGTGGGCCAATCCTGTTCGTCTTATTTTGCAACGACGCCCCTCTCGACATATCTTCTGGGTGCCTGATGTATGCAGATGATCTGAAATTGTACCGTCGCATTCGAACTGCTAGTGACTCTTTGGCTCTTCAAGCAGACGTAGATAAATTGTGTCTTTGGTCAGGTACGTGGAAGTTAGCTCTGAACCCGTCTAAATGCAAAAGTATCACGTTCACACTTCGTGGAAAGCCTGTACATAGATACAACCTACCACATTGGCGGTACCGCACTGGAACGTGTGAGCCAGATGCGTGACCTTGGTGTTCTGCTTGACTCAAAGTTGACATTCGGCCCCCACATTGATGAACTTGTAAGAAAGGTAAACCGCGCCTTGGGCATGTACAATTTAGGGTGTGTCGACAGAGGGGTTTTTCTCACAGATTCACGTTAGACAAAGATATTTTTTGGCACGAGACTCAACAGATGCCAAAAATCCAAAAGAAAGCACTTAAATTACAAAATTAACGAGGCTCCAGAGGTTTGTTTCCAATATCTGTAAAATAGCTGATTCGATGGCAGCGCCACCTACATTAAGAGCATGCGACTGTGGTGACACCTGTGCAACTGGTGTGTTGTCGCTGGTTGTCAGCAGTGCCTCTGGCGGCTGGTATTTAATTCTGGTATTTTTGTTTGATATTAATTGTAATTATGAACAGATTTGTAATAAAACATCTACAGAAATTTAAGATTTGATTGAAATATAATTTAAATAAAATCACTGAATTAACAGATGAATGTGTGAACAAAATATAAAGATCTTGATACGACAAAATGCATTACCTAAAGTTAACCTAGCAGACAACAGTTGTCAATTGTCATTGAATCTTTGTTTACGGGATAGGTCCCAAACTTATATTAGGTAAAAACTAGGTAATTAACAGTGTGATTTAATTATTATCCAAGCTAATTGTTTACCCTACGTCCTACCACATCGTGCGATGTTCTGTAGCCATGTCAAAGGCCACACGCTCACAAACTAGACGTTTTCTTCTCGGCCATCCCGCCCCTCTGCCAGCCAACCAGTTGCCGACGAAAGGTGATGTCGTCAGCTACATCAGGTGGCTGAACCGCACTTCTAAACAGCCTCCCTCGGATCACATTTTCAGACAAGTAGCGAATGATGTCAGCGATGTGTGGATAAATGAAGGAATTCCAATTCATGATATCTACTACGTTACGAAGGTGGTGAAACGAGACTGCTACGTTGCATACAGGAACGTGTGCAAGAAGAACAAGAAAGCGAGGAAAAGCCACATCGACAGCTACTTCGTCAAGCTTTTCGACCTTGCGAAATGCAAGTGCAGGTCCTGGCTCAGCTGCCTGTGTCCTAAGGCGAACAAAGTTCCCCAAGAGGAGTTTTCATTCCTCCAAGATCAGCGGCGCCAGAGAAAACTGTCATTGGGGAGTTTTGACCGGCTCACGAGTTTAGCACGAACAGCTCGTGAGGAGAGGAGAAGCGCACTTCGTCGTTATGAGTTCGGTGGTCCATCCGGCGGTGCGGAGGCATGCACTGTCGAGCCCGTGTCGCCACCGGCTGATCCCGAGTCGTCTCTCACCCAGCCTGAGTCGCCTTCCACCGAGCCCGGGTCGCCTCCCACACCAACTGCTGGCCCCTCGACTGCTGCCGATCCAGCCACTGCTCCAGAGTCTGTGCCGGGCCCCAGCCGCCACGACACCGGCAGTGGTGGCGGCGAGCTCACCGCCTCGTCGACCTCGAATCAGGGTGTTGATAGTGACAGTGATTCGTATGTGCTAGACAAAACCGTCGATACTGCAACCGTCGATCGTAACACCCAGCAGCTGAAGAACGCGGCGTTGGCGGCCGAGCGCTTCGACGTGTCCAATCGAGCAGCAGCTGCCATTATCAACGGCTATCTGGAAAACATCGGTGAGCTGAATCAGGCAACTGCCGTGGCCCCTTCGAAGCTCTGGCGAGCCAGAAATAAAGAAAGACTGGAAACGGCTCGCCAAAGCGCCAATGACATATATCAGTCCGGGCTCACAAGTCTGTACTTTGACGGTCGGAAGGACACTGACGTGCACCACAAGCACCACAGCTCACGCCTCTGAGGAGCACGTGGTCGTGATAGCTGAGCCGGGGAGTCGGTATGTAACTCTCTTCAGTCCAGAGTCGGGCCGAGCGTACGATTTGCTCAGCGAGCTGCATTCACTGGCCTTGCACTTCGACGGAGATATCCGGGTAATGGGCTGCGATGGCACCGCCGTCAACACGGGCACCACGGGCGGCGTGTGCCGCCTGTTCGAACTAGTGACAGGCTCTCCCGTTCACTGGTTTATTTGCCAATTGCATGGCAACGAGCTCAATCTGCGTAGCCTCGTGACGACCCTGGGCGGCACCGCCTCCGGTCCCCGGTCGTTTACCGGGCCGATCGGCCGGTTCTGCGCCGGCGACGTGTGGGAGGCCGATGTGGTGGCGTACGAGCCGGTGCCGGGCAATACGCCCGACCTGCCAGCCGCAGTGATTCAGGAGCTGAGCACCGATCAGCAGCTTCTGTACCTGCTGGCTGCAGCGGTGCAGAGCGGCTCCGTGGACAACAAGACGGCTGGCCGGCGAATCGGACCCCTGAACCATGCAAGGTAAGAGAGCTGAAAAAGCTACCTTGTGAATGGATGTGGGTTTATATACCTACCATGCAGCCACATTCCATGCAGCTTGCGAATTGCAAATGCATATACCCTGATTCACGAGTATAAAATATATCAACCAGCATCCTCGTGTCGATTATCGTAGCTCTTCAATGCAAGGGACCGCTGATGAATTATGTCACGCTTATCATGGGTGTCGTGGGAGGGAGGGGAAGTCTGGCATATTGATAGTGTGACAGTAGGAGGGGAGGTCAGCGCGATGTTACCCATGTTTCTAATGCTGCTGAAATGGCGTTCAAATGTTTGTTATCCGCCGCACAACGGTATACAGAGATAACGGTGTATTACATTTTATGTTTTTTTTTATTTAGTCGGACCTCTCTCCAACGGGTTCAAGTCCCAATTACAGGAGAGAGCACCTGCTTCTCCTCGTCCTCGACCCCCCCCCCCCCCACCCCACCCCCATGTTCTATAATTCCCACTTCCCAAAAATGGTTTCCTAAAAAAAAACTTTTTTCGTCTTCAGGTGGCTGACGCTGGCCGCTCGTCTGCTCCGTTTGTACGTCTCCACGGTGGCACCCAGCGGCGCTCTGCAGGACCTGGTGCAATACGTGGTTCGACACTACGTACCGATGTGGTTCACCATCCACCAGAACAGCAGCTGCGACCAGGGCTCACGGAACTTGTTTCGCAGCGTCGTTCTGCTCCGCGATCTGCCGCAGCGCTCGCAGGCAGTCATCCGGCCGGTGATCCAGCGCAACGGCTACTGGGCGCACAGCGAGCAGCTTCTCCTGGCGATGGTTACCGACAGCGAGCGCGCCGTCCGGGAAAAGGCCGTCCAACACATCGGCGCCGCCCGCCAGCTGCATGCCGAGGAGGTCAGGCCCTTCGTGATTCCCGTCGTCAACTTCGACGCCACAACGTACACCGACCTCATCAGCTGGGACGGCCGGATCACGCAGCCTCCTCTTCTGCGAGACCTCAGTCATTCCGAGCTGGTGCACGTCATGGACGCTCCGTTGACTGTGCCCCCGTACCCGGTCCACACACAAGCCGTGGAACGGGCCGTGCGGATGGTCACGGAGGCATGCACGGCGGTGATCGGAGATGAAGCTAGAGACGGTCACATCACTCATCACTGCAAAGCTGAAACATCGACGCCAGCTTCCTGTGCTCAATTCCAAGCAGGATATGCTGCGACGGTAAGCCGCCAACAGCTCCTCTGATGTACCTATGCTTTAAAATGTTAGCCAACATTTAAGATCGATGTTGTCTAGTGCTAATATTTTGATTTTCGGTTTTTGTAATCCCCTCTAATTTACTTATCACTTGTAAAAAAAACTGGAGCGTTTCTTCTCACTGATGTCAAGTGATTTTAGTTCAAAACATTTGTGGTGCTGCTACTGGCAACATTATTTGTGCAATATAACCGTTCTTTAGTCACTGTGTCAATAATATTGACACAGTCAATGACTAACGATTCTCTTTGAATGTGTCTTCCGCAGGAAGCTGAGCTGTGACTGACTGACTGGCCATTGAGCGTCATCAGTTCGGCTTGACAAGGGAACTGCGAGGTGGCGGAGAGCGATATTACGTAGCTGAACGAGGGTCTACGCACGACGAGCTCAGATGGCCTTCGGTAACGTTTGTCGTTGCGTCTGTGATGATCTCCGAGTCATGTTGCATCGTCCGTTTTGCTATGCCCGGGAGTTCAGCGGTGAGTCGCTGGCAATCTGGCTCGCTGATTCAACACGTGACCCCTCAGACGCCGGCGGGCTGTGTGGCGAATTACCTTTTGCAAATGTCGGTTATTGATAGCGCCATTCACCATATGTCGGTAGGCGCTAATACAGAGGGTTTTGGTGATAACCTGTTTGTTTTCAGGGCGCTGCAATCAGACGATATAGCTCGTATGGGGGAGGTAGTGAGGTTTTTGGACGTGGTGGTATCTGAAGCGTGTTGTTTCCCAGCTCAAAATAATTGTAATGTGCCTCCGATCGTACCTTTTACCGCAACTATTGTACCTTTTACCGCAACCCTGTCGATACCTATATTAGAAGGCTTGCCTGAGTCAAAAGTTTTTTTCATTTAGAGAAATATGTTCTTCACTAATCAAGATCTTTATGCTGGTTCTGTTGATCACCCTTACCTAAAGCATCGGCGCGGCACACGTCTAGGTACAATTCCTGCTCTGTTCCTCCTGTTTCGTTTTTTAGCCGTCAATCTGGAAATTTACCACTTTCCTAACAACTCAACAGGAAAAAATGGAACGTGATATTTGGGTAAAATGTATGCTTCCGAATTGTTTTATATCTTCTCAAGTAGTTTGAACAAAAATAGAAGTCATTTCTCATTTGAAACTACCCCAATTATCACGATATGATAGTGCCCGTTATTGGCAATGTAGGTGGCAGCACCGTCGACTGCGACTTTTTCGCTGAAACTTCGACCTGCCCGAGCCTCGTTAAATCGCATTTTTACGCAAAACCAACTGCAGGGCTAGTGTTTTGGCATGCTCGCGCCAATTTATATCTTTGTCTAACGCGAATCTGCGACTATCGACACACCCTAAGCACATACTTGAGGTCGCTTCAGAGTTATCGAGCTCCCGCCGGCCGTAGGCTACCGCCAGGACCTACAATGACAGGTTTCAATGCCCACATTCGTGCAATCATGGAATTCGGTTGCGTGATATGGGGCGGAGCAGCAAAAACTCATATTGCGAGATTGGAGCATATCCAACACAAGTTCCTGATGTGGTTGGGCAGGCATTCAAACAGTCCATGTGCTTCTCTTGACTATACTGATTTGCTTCGTCATTTTGGTGTCTTGCGAATTGACCAGCGGCTTGTTCTGAATGACTTGAACTTCGTGCAGAACGTGTTCACCGGCAGGATCGACTCCGGTGACATTCTTGCGATGTTTTCACTCGCTGTACCATCGCGAACTCGTTCCAAGCCTGTGCTGTATGTGCCTGCAGCAAGGGTTGACACAATCAGAAACGGTTTGTTCTGTCGCTTGCCACGAGCTGTGAACAGTGTATGTGAGAAACGGCCCACTGCTGACCTGTTCGGATCCCGGGCGGCGTTTAGAAGTCAGGTGAAGGCATTCGTATCGAGCCTGTAACCTTATTTATACATGTGTTAGTTAGACATAAGTAGGTGTGTGAAAATGTGACGTATATTTATGCTTGTGACTCCGTCTGTAAATGGGGTGCACCTGTGGACGGTAATATTTCAATACACAATACACAATCATATTGGACCTTTCTCTCCCCCCCCCCCCTCGCTCAGCAACCGGACTGCACGGGATCGGGCCGGTCATGAGTTCCCCCACTGCGGAGCCGTGGAAATTTCAGACGGCTCCGAATCCATCCAGCTCCGGCTCCGGGTGAAATGCCATGGCCGCTCCGGCTCCGGCTCCAGCTCCGAGTAAAATGGTACGGCTCCGGCTCCAATACTCAGTATATATTAAATACGGGTGGCAGAAAAAGAAGACGGGATTGGTGCACGTTACTTCTGCATTTGCATAACAAGGCTATTTTTATATTTTGAAAACCGCATGTTTTACTGCCTGGAACTGCAAGTTCAAGGCAGTTCGGTTTGACAAACCGAATTAGATCAATAATTTTTCCTCATCAAAAAAAGGAGCCGGAGTCGCCCTCTTTTTTGACAGCTCCGACTCCGGCTCCGGCTCCGGGTTATATTATTTCACGGCTTCGGCTCCAGCTCCGGACAAAATATGCCGGCTCCGGCTCCAGCTCCGGCTCAGGCTCCGGCTCCGCATCCCGACCCTGCCTCAAACTGAAAGTCTGGTTCCACCCTGGTGCCCTAGCTAATCGCTAACTAGAATCAGCGCACACAGATGCCGCGGTTTATATGCATATGTATAGATGTCGCAGCTATAGCGACACATGCAGTGCAAATGGTAGCAGACAACAGTAGTTTCCCCTACCAAAGTGGTTGTTTTCTACCACAGATGCTCGTCGAGGTCGGAATTTCCAAATACGCGTTGCAAATATGTGTGATGATTGAGGTTAGGTCAGGTAGGTATGCTTTTCTCACAGACAATGACAATACAAAAACAGTGTAAATAAGACCACACGTTTCGACAACAAAGTGCCTTCGTCAGTGGAAAACAAGATATAGGCTTAACATCGATAAAATATAGAAGACAACCAGGTTGCACAAAATACAGTTTTACCCAGGGTATATTGAATCGACAAATTTGACAGGGCTATCGAACGCCGTTTAAATTTTACGGATCCGTCCAGTACTTTTGGAGATACGGGGGGGGGGGCAAAAATGCCCCCTCCCCCCCCCCATTGCGCGGAAGGTGGCCGGGAGGCCCACCGCCTGCCGGGTTAAAGCACGGATCTCCAGCATGGGACCATTCCATCGGCCATGTTTGGTAGCGACCTACGACAACAATTACATACTGTATAGCGGCCAGTGTTTGAAGTGGCCAGTGGTGTAACCTTATTTATCATAATCTAACCTTACCTTAAGTGGCCACTTTAGACACTAGCTACAGCGATCATTCTAGCACATGGTTCAATGTGTCAAAAAGCCCCATAGTACAGTTGTGGCCGGACATTTGGCACATCATCCTATGGACAGTTTGAGCCTAGGACAAAGTTATTTCTGGAGTCAGCGGCTGTCGGCCGAGGAGTACGCTGGACAATTCAGCCCCTGGTCTATATGGCGGCTGATCTGGCCGGGACACTGCTAGGACTGGCCACTTACTTCAATCACTGACCAAAACGATCATCTCCGTACCCATGGTCTACGCATTTCCCAAACACTTCAAACACTAGGCTGTGCATCCATTTGACCACATCTGGACCATATGAGCACTGGCCTATGTGTTCATATGGTCATCGGCCACAATAGGACAATGTAATCTTGGGGCATTATGAACGACGTACCCATTCAAGGCACTGGCCATTTCGACCACTGGGCACATAATGCCCTGGGCATTCAGAACCACGGTCCAAACAATACGCACGCACCCCTTGCCCGGCTACAATGCGGGCCTAACCCTGATCGAGGGATATTTGGGCTGCCGTCCAGCAGGACCTGGACTATGGACATATAGCAGCTGGCGGCCGGCCTTTGGATGCTCTAGTCACAACTCAAATGGGAATGGTCCGCCCAAAATAAAGCTGTCTGTGCTGCACAACCTGGTCGCCAACATGGCAAACCACATTCGTGCGTGTTCCTGTGTTTGTGGGGAATATGCTGAGCCACAGATAACAGTAGTACTACTGTTATCTGTGGCTGAGCAGTAGAGAATCGCTGTTTTTTTTTGTAGCAGCACTGAGACCACGCTTTCGGATAGGACAAAACTCATGCCGAACGCTGTACATATTCATATGAGCATTTTATAAAATGCCCGATTACACATATTGTCTGTAACATATACACAGTACTGGTGTCGAGCGGCTCTTTCTAATCAAACATATCCCGGTACAGCAATTCTTTATTCAAAATACGAAAAGCTTCGCTTCGCTCTCTCGCTCGCAAAAAGAAAAATCTAAAGAGACAATTGAGACGAATGACAAACATGTTTATAAAAATATACGCATCTAAGATGTCAACAGTAACACAGCACAGCCACACAACAAATAGCTTCACAAATCACAACCCCTGATCTGGAAAACCTGAGTGAGTGATACCACATCTATTCGCCAAGTATGCTATGCACAACAAACTAACATCGAAATGCAAATTGAAGGGAATGCTTTTTATCAGAGCTAGAGTTAGCAGTCCAGCGCGATTTAACTTTGCTGGAACGTTGACTAGGCTCTCTCCCATAAATGTGAGGCCAACCAACGCTATTATAGTTCGTTTTTTCAAAAGGACTCTGGCTCCAAGTATGTTTTCCGAATAAGCACGTGTTTTAGCGAGCAAAAGGAGCAAAAACTGAATTTGAAAAAAAAAATCGAACATCGACTAATTTTCACATGTGAATTATTCCCGATAATTTCCATACGTGCGTTTTGGAACCAGATATGAGAACAGTGGTGACGTCATGCTGTCGAATTTTGTATTGCATTGTAGCGTATAGCTATCATGGACGGAACCGCTTACTCGGTTATAACCTCGGCAACAGTGAAAAACAAAGTATCCCCCAAATTCGTCGACGCTTTGTCCCATTATGCGGACATTGGATGCCTGCTGCCACCAGTGACGTCGTCATGGTGTGCTATTTTTTCAGACTCAATTTCCGGGTAATTACCGTGCACAATTTGAAATCGAATGTTTTTTCGGTAAGAACTTCTTGGCCAGACGCTGAAGCTGCCAAAACTCACGTGAGAGCGTCGATAATGAACTTGGAGCCAGAGTCCCTTTGAACAAAAAAAAAAACGAACTATAGCTTCCAAACAGGTCGTGTCACATCAGCAACGAACTTCATTGTTTGTTGTTCAAGCTTCCTTACACTGGCTACTTGGCCTGAAAGTTAGCCGAAAGGCATTCGTTAGAGATAGTTGCCGGGCGTCCTAACGGGCGGGTAGCTGGCTCCGTAGTACGGGGCGCGGGTCGTGTCAAACGGCGACCCAGCCGGCGGTGGCCAGTTGGCTGCGGGGTGCCGGCGCTCAAACCTGGGTGGAAGAAAGGCGTCTTGCGAAGGAAAGCGGGGAGGATGGTTGTTCATGGGATGGAAAAAATGCGTGGGACCATCGCTTCTAGGAGTTAGCTGTCTGGCAGGATTGCTACTGGGGATGACAGGCCGGGGAGGGTGATTCGGCCGCAGCCCGAACCCGTGCGCACCACGATTGTGACCAAAATTTCCAGGAAACCGCGGCTGCATATTCTCTGGAGACTGATGAGCGGGGTGGCCGCAGTTCAAGCGAGCGATGCCGTCACCATCATTGTGGCCCGGGGGCTCGCAGGGAGGGGGAAAGCCAAAGTCGCAGTAAATACACCGAAGTGTGCGATTATTCATTATTTGAGGAGCGGCCATCCTCACAGGAGGCCGGAACTCTGGAGGACAGCCAAAGTTGTCAGGTCCTCGCTCCATTGTAGAAACAAAGTCTGTAGCATAATGGGGGCCGTTGGGACCCACATATCCACCGTTCATTTCTACATTCGGGACCCAGTCCATTGGGCCCTGCTCCATTTCACCATGTGGAAGATCCAGGTCTACAGGTGGGTTAAGGTTAGGTTGGGGTAGAAGGGGGTGTGATTTCACGGTAGCTACCTGCGTTTCCCTCTTGCGATTACGCTTCTTCTGCTTTTTGCTCTTTACATTTCGCTCGGAAGCGACGCTTGCGGGAGGAGATTCGCTGAGAGGATCATTTTTGCGACTGTGATTAATTTCGATTTGGAAAGGATTCAACGGTAGAAATTCTGGCTGCGCATGACCAATGGGTCCGAGGTGCTCTCCAAAGCCGGTAAGCAGCTCCGCGCGCAGCCCGTCCGAGGAGATTTCGTACCACTGCTGTGCCTCGGCCAGGTGCTTGTTTATACTGTCGTTCAGACTCTTCTTGTGTCCGAAGACGACAGTGAACATAGCAGCCAGCCGTTGTCCGCCCGTGCGCATCAACTCGTCGACGGACCTGGAGGAAAGCCGCTCCAAAAACGGCCTTCCGTAAGCAGCTGAAAAGAAATATACGAAAAATAATAAGCAAACTGATAAAACAGGCCCAAAAATCATCATATCAAAAAGTATCTTTCTACTTAGATACTTTAAATGTGTCGGAAACTATTTTAAATCAATGCTAATCAATTGAAAATGATGTGTCTGCGAGAATAAAACAAGACATGATTATGAGCCTGAATGAGTAGGCCCAAAGGAAGGTCGGGACAATGAAAGGGCACGTGGATGAAAATTTGGGGTTTGATTTGATACAACGTTTCCTTGACGTTTCCATAGGTACCTGAGCAATTAGCATGATAGCACCAAGGCCAGGCTGAGTTACAAGCGGCGGAAGTTTCAAATGCGGTAAAGGAGCAGAAGAAAACAACAGGATATGAGCGCAACCTCCTATACGGACACTGGACAGTGCGGAAGGTCCGTACTAGTTTATTACAGGTCCGTCCTTTTTAACGCATCTGTTTGCCGCAAACAGCGGAACAACCCTGTGAAACGTTACACAGACGACTATCTCGCCTCCCATGCACCCATTTTTTCGCATCGATGGAGGCGCCCAAGGCTATAGAACTCCAGGTAAGGACACCAGCCGTTTGACCTTGAACGCCGCCGGCCGGCCGATGACGTCATTGGAGGCAAGCCGGCTCGGCGGACACACAGGGCGAATGCATAACGGAGGGGCGTTGGAACGTTGCGGGAGACAGGGAGATATTTTCAAGTGGTTGCATACCACCATTGTTTGTTGATTGATCTAAAGACTGCATCCTTTTAAACCTCGATGCATCCTAGGCCTGGATGGTGCGTACATTCGTGGAACGATCACCCCGTCCGACGTCCGTGGTCGAAGCTGTCATAGTATTCAAGACACTAAGACGGGTGCAATAACGGCGATCCGATCCCGTCTCTGGCGAATTTAGAGGGGTCGTAAGGACCCAGGCCGAATCTGACCGTCTATTTTTAGGGAAACGGGGTGGGTGAATTGACAACCGATGGCTTAACCCGCGCCCCGTAGGGCTACCGGCGGACCCTACCACCCGTAGGGGGGGGGGGCGTTTCGGCCCCCCCCCCCTAAGATCTCGGAAAGTTACCGGCCGATTTTCAAAATTCAAACGGCGTTTGATAGCCCTACCCGGGAACTACCTTGTGACTAAATTTCATTGACCTAGGTCAAACCGATGACGTCACAGGTCAGGTCAAAGGTCAGATTTTCACCGTTCACAGGCAATTCAAGAAATGTGCTGTGAAATCGAGTAAATTGGTAATTTATTGAAAACCATCGATGGTATATTGTTCGTCAAACACATACTTTGCTATCTGAGGTTACTGATACCAGGTCAGGTCACAGCGAGGTCAGGTCACCGGGGGTCACAATATGAATGTGTCGTGTGATACATGTTTTATGGTCCATTTTACATGACAAATGCGATTATGTGGGTTAGGCAGCCTTTGGGGCCAGCCTAGGTCACGTTTTGGTGAAGGTCAGGTCAAGGTCAGGTCAAATTAGGTCGAATTTCAAAGTTGATATTTTTGGATAAAATGGGTATCCATTCGATGCAGCTCGTCACGGGGAGTCTAATGGTGGTCTTTGTTTTGCTCTACGAGTTCTAGAATTGCCAAAAATTGAGTTTGAAAGTTTGACGTCATCATCTTTGAACAGTTTTTTCGCTATAACTTGGCCAAAAAACGAGGTATCGATCTGAAATTTGGTATGTAGATAGAAGACGGTAGGTACTATCACATATATTCCGGTTTTTTTCGAAACTCAAAAAACTTTTTGGATTTTTTGGCTAATATATAAAAAAATGCTTTTTTGATTTTTGGGGATCAAAACTCAAAAATTTCAAAAATCCGAGATTGCAGTTTTGTAGTCAATTCTACACCTTTTTATGTCTTGATCATTTTTCTGTATCTTCAAAGCTGTAGGCCTGACAGGTCTTCTCGCGAAGGTCTTTTTTCGGTCGAAAATGACAGAACATGACGTCACTCTGACGTCATTTGTGGCCAACCTATCACAGCCTCTGGAAAAAGTTTTTGTCACAATGTGTAAAATTGATGCCCGGAGGGGTCCTGAAAGTCTGGTGGCGATATCTCCAGCCGTTTAGGAGATATCGACCGAAAAGGACAGGGGGGGCCGTTTCGCCCCCCCCCCTACGGGGCGCGGGTTAAGAGATGATGAGAAGGGATCCCGTCGTCGATTGTTGTTTGACAGACAACACATGTTGTACTGGGCGTATGACCATCAGAGGTAATGCCTGAACGTAGGCAAGCATAATTGATCTGTCATATTGTTTAGGAATACCAATACAAAATGGTAATGGAGATCATTGAGGATATGATCTCAACATTACGGGAATTCACTAATTACTACGGCCCATAGGGGCACCGCCGGAGCTGTTGTTTTGCCATCGGTCCCAGGCAACTCCAGGGAGCTGCAGTACCCGGCGGCCAAAGCGGCCACCTCGTCGACTCGCAGGTCCTCTGGGATTCCGTGATGCTTTAGTGCTTCACCCACAGAAACACGGGCATAGCAGTAGGATGTGGGGCTAGGTGTCTGTCCACCTCTTCATTCAAAGAACAACGTGTACAGCGCCTGGTCCCGCCGAAGCTCGGTATCGACCGTGACTTATTCACAACTGGCGGATCCAGGAAGCGGTATTGGACACTGCGGGGGCTTACCCCAAAAAGGTTTCTCGGAATTAATTTAAAAAACTCGGATTTCGATTCCTTGCGCACTGCTGTGCGGTGTGCTTAACCAACATTTCCTCAGAAAAGTTGTGAAGTTTTCATTTATTCTCGAAAATCGATTTCGGGCGCTGCCCTGGTTGTTGGAGAAGACATTTGCCCCAAATGCCTTCCCCTGGATCCGCCAGTGGCCGTTGCCCCACTCCGAGCTTGACTAAAGACGTCTTCAAACCTCACCAGAAACCGATGGTAAGGTGAATTTAAATCCAATAACTCATCTCTGTCTGCCCGCCTAAATATACTACACATGGTACAGCACCCGGCCCTGTCGGAGCTATGAGCCGATCGTGATATTTTCGGCTTTCCCCATCCCAAGCTCGATTAGAAACGTTCTCCTTCCCCACCCGATTGCTGATGTCAATTCAAATGCAATGCCTCATCTCTGTCTGCCCGACCATAACCCATTCATTGCACACCGTTCAGCGCCCGGCCCCGCCAGAAGTATCCTAGCGCGCTGAGCAGCAGGGTTGTGCTTGACTCATGAGTCGAGTCAGAAATTTGACTCAACTCTGACTCAAATGAGTCAGGTTTGAGTCGAGTCAGGTAAAATGTTAAGCTGTTGAGTTGAGTCAGAGTTGAGTCAGACAAAAATATTAAGGTGTTGGGTTGAGTCAGAGTTGAGTCAGTAAAATAACTTTTAACATTGAGTTGAGTCAAAAACATTTAGGAACATGAGTCAGCTGACTCATCTTTTTAGAAACAATATATATAAGCGTTTCATTCTCCCCCGCTTAACAACTTAGGCCTGGCCCTGCTGCCGGATTTTTTTTTTTCAACCCCCCCCCCCCCCCCGGTCAACAGCTTTTTTATCTGAGTCAATTTTGAGTCAACACGCTTGACTCAACAAAAAAAATGAGTCAAGTTTGAGTCAACTCATATTTTCATTGAGCCGTTTGAGTCATGAGTCGAGTCAAGGGAAAAAATCAGCTCCTTGTTTGAGTCAGAGTTGAGTCAGGGCTTTCTGAAGTTGAATGATGAGTCGAGTCGGCAAATTTTTTTGAGTCGAGCACAACCCTGCTGAGCAGTTGCCTCCAGCCGCGTCATCGCGAGGCCCCGCGCGGCCCATAAACGAATACATTGCGCGAATAGCCGTGTCGCCCCCCTGGAGGCGCCCCTAAGCTTCATAGACGCCCTATCAGCCTCTCAGGTGCTCCTGTTCCGCATGCAACGCGCCCCTCTCGCACAGAGGCGTACCTAGCCATGGCCATGGATGATATAACACTGGATTGGTGTCTCGTGGAAATTAACATTGGGATCCGCGACATTGGGATCAGGCCTGCCATCTAGCGAGATAATTATCGTAAGTTAGGAGCAAGCCAGGTGAACGCCATCTCTCAACATTATGACACACGTGGGTGTGGTGTGTTAGCTGGCTTAAAGTGCATATTCCCAAGAGTTGGAGGTAATCTTACTGGACCTGAGACGACAAAAAATGTATTTAATGCTTGAAAGCCAAAAACGTCAAGCAGCTTTAGGTAATAACGAAAATAAAATGCGTAAGACGGTGTGTATTGAAACGCCCAGTCCCATCGGCTTGTACGACCTTTTATATGGCCATTTACTCACAATGGTACAGCAGTTTGACAAATATGTCATACATATTTGGTAGGCTTATTCCTTCTCCTCCGAATTTCCGGCCAGATTTTCTTCATCTTAGTTGATGTCACGGCACGTGCAACGTGCCAACTTAGGGGTGTCGAAATTGTTCCATATAAAGTAACTCCGCAATGGCTGGGCCCATTACAGTATAACTTCGTCAATAGTTAGGCACCCAGTGGCCAATGCATTTCCATGTGTCACTATGGGGGTGCTACTGCACGTGCGCACGTGCGGGGTGCCGCTTCCATAGCACAAGAACGGCTGGGCGGATAACACTCAAAGTTGGTACACAAATGTCACATCGATGCTCGCACTGCATTGATCAGTGCTTACATTGGTGCAGAATCATTAGGAAAACGATGGAATGAGATGCGTGGTGTTTATGCCTTTCTGTTCCAGCAGCTGATTGATCCGCAACAGGAGATCCTGGTTTGTGAAGGCTTCGTCTCCCTTTTCCACTCCTTGTTTAAAATCACATTAACAGTGTACGAAGATCACACACCAAAGCTGTTTTAGGCGGCTATCTTGGGCCAGGGCTGCGGAGTTGTAGTCAGAGCCAGCGGTTCTGTTCGGACTCGGAGTCGGTTGATTTTTAAAAGCTGTAGTCGCCGTATGAGTCGAACGTCACCGAAAAGTCATCGACTCCACAGACTTACCAGGACTGCAGAGTCGGAGTCAGAGTCGGAGTCTGTGTGAATCGACAGTTCTGCCCGGAGGAGTCGGGGTCGATATTTGGACACCGGAATCGGAGTTGGAGCCAAAGTCACTGAAGTTTCATCGACTACGCAGCACTGGTTGGGTCCTTTTCGTAGAGCGTCTTGAATGACATATTGAGCGGCAATGACGTTAGCAATTCTGTTTAACTTTTTCATTAGACTTAAAGATAGTACTTACGTTCGTTTTGTTCTTTGATCGGACAATTTGTTTGATTTAGGGCGCCAAGTAAAGACTCATGTGAAAAATAGCGAAAACGACACGTGGTGGCGAAGTCTCCAGTAACTCCCTGTTTCACGATGTAATGAAAAAATAACATGGAACTGCTTATCTTATTACTGACCCTGCACATCTATTAATATCTTCGCTTTTACTGACATATAAAGACATAACCTTTTGAAAAATTGCACAACAAGCCTGCTACTACACCATACTCCCGTGTGTCACAATGCTAATCAGCGGCGTTCACTCGGCCTGCTCCTAACTTACGATAATTCTCCTGCTAGATGGCAGGCCTGAGCTCAATGTCGCCAAAAACTGCGAAGACACCAATCCATTATTATCTCATCCATGCCATGGCTTTAGAGATGTCATGGCCTCCGAGACCATGACGTCTCTAAAGCCATGGCGCCCCTTTCCCCTAGGCAATTGCGCCCTCTTGCCTTCTGTGACGGTTTATCCGCACCTATCTGTTGAGCGTGGTTATGCCCAATGCCCATGACTTATGGTTGGGCTAGCTTTGCCGCCTCTCGATTCGTCAGCTTTGTAAACAGTTGTATACCTCTGTCATCTTGCCTCTGTCTACCTCTCTAACGTCTGGTTCGATCGCTTTTGTTCTTTTGTCCCCTGGAGACCAATGGTTGACCTGAGGTCCAATATATGAACAGTGGACACTGGACACTATGAAAACCCTTAAAAAAAAAATACTTCCACGATGTTGTAACACCATTAACTCGCCACCCATTGAGGGAGGGGGATGGGGCCAATGGCCCACCCTCTATGGGTTTTCGCAGATAACTCAGAAACGGCTGTCAATTTCGACTTGTCGTTTTCTGTACCTCTCCAGACATCAATTTTACGTAACTCTTGACAAATCGGGCCCTAGGTCAACTCAGGTCATGAGTAATATAGGGTAAAGTGAGGTCACCTTCAGACATTTTGGTCGAAAAAGTTGTTCACGGAAAAAGTCGCGGAAAATCAGACTGTCAACCCAAAGACTGAAAGATTTGATCGTAGGTACAAAAAAAAAAGCAAAAAAAAAACAGCATCAAATGTTTCCAAAATACACCAATCTCAAGATCAAGAGATTCTCCGACTCAAAATTTAGATTTCTTGAGATAAATTTGAAATATGGGGAAATTTTCCACACCGCGGCATATATGTCAGAAAAACCTTACCGCCTTTACACACATAACAAAAATCATGATACTCATCTACCTCTGTCTGACTCGAATATGAACGTTGTCGTCTCTTTTACGTCATAAACGTCACTTTTACGGAATAAAATGTTTGTCATTTAAAACGGTATCAATTTACCTTTTTTCCTTCCTGTGACGTCATAGGTCCAAAACAATGGTAAAGGAGGTTTCTGTGGCTGTAATGTATGACATGCCTTCATTAAGACTCGAATATTTACAATTCAGCATGCCGTTCCCGACAATTCACGCAAGCGTTTTGATTGGTCGAGTCTGACCTGCTTGTGATGTCACAAGTCATCATCCATTCAGATGACTATCCACATTTCAGATTTATGATATTCATCATATCCAGACTCATTTTAGAGGCCTAGACTTCTTTCTTTATGACCGACTTCTCGTCATCGTCAATTGGACTGATTAGACCTGTTTGACCTCCCTGTGGCATCACAGGTCAAATGTCGAGGTCAGATACGCATCCTGTACATTTCGACGAGCACTTTTGAATGCCGTTTGATTTGTTCCGATCTGGCTATTGGTTACGGAGATACAACGGAGAGGCCTTGCCCCCCCCCCCCCAACAGGACAAGGAACCTGCAAGACCTTAAACGGGACGCGGGTTAAATGAATCTGTCATTCGTCTTTAACCAATTTGTCACAAAAAAAACGTTCAAACTAGTCACAAGTACAAAAATGGCCGCTGCTGGTCGCACCTAGAACCTGACCTAAAAACTGGCCACTTCACTTGGTGCGATTTTTATCACACCTCGAGCGTCTCTCTTACTATTCGCCGCTATACGCGACACAAGACATTAGAATGGGTGCAAAACTTGGTGTGTTTCTATCGAACCATCGCTGTGGCGCGACTAAAAGCCAGTGCTGTAATGCAAGATACGAGTTGCTCTATGCATTTATGACTGCGCGTTAAGCATGCTTCGCTAGTAATCTCAATCAAATGGCGCGCGGACTCTCAGATTGCATGCTCGTATTTGCGGACATCAGTTTTCATAAGCTGAGCACATAATTTAGTTGAAATGAATGCTGAGTGTTATTTGGGATCGCCACGTTGCGCAGTACCAGATGCGGTTATTAACACGTTTCCTGGTGTCACCTTCACATGCGTTAGTTCTCACCTTCAAATAGGGTTTTCAGCGTGCGGTAGCCGGTCGTTTGGTCCCAGGGCGTTCGGAGGTCAGCCTGCCGAGGAGCGGCCGCTGCGGAGGCGTGCCCACGCGCCGGCTGAGCGGCAGGAGGGGCCGCCGGAACGGGCGAGCTCCCCTCCAGCTGCGCCAGGGCGCACTGCACCCCTCTATCACAGTGCACTAGCTGAGCGCGCTGGAAGACCGCCTGCCACGCCAGCAGCGTGTGCTGGATCGCCTTGTGACACGTCTTCAGCTGATCACGCAGCGACAGGCCAAAACGCATGCTGAGTCGGCCCACCCAGTGCTTGGCCTCGGTCATTGCCGAGCGTGTCTCGCCTTCGAGGCAGCGGCAGCCGCGCGCACTCTGTTCGTCAGTCGTCTTTTGCAGTCGGCCTTGGATGAAGTTTTCCAGCACCCAGAACATGCGCTCACAGCATGCGTCCACAGCGGAGACGGCAGGGTCCTCTTCGCGCGCACGCTTTCCGAAAACCTTGGCCACCAAGGGAGGCGGTCGGTCGGTGGGCGGTCGACTGGTTTCAGCCGGCGGCGGCACCGCGGGCCCACCAACAATGTCCGTCTGTGCAGGACTGTCCTTCACTTGCGGTCTCAGCGTGCTGTGGCCGTAATGCACAGTCCCGCGGTGCCAAGGCGTCGTCTGAGTCCCCGTTTCATCCTTCAAATGATGCACGTTCGTTGGCCTGCCAGGGTTGTCGGAAGGTTCGATCAAAAGTCCTTGTTCCGTTTCGGATGATGGAACCGAGTGACCGGGCTCCGTTACATCGTTGTCATTAAATGTACCCAATTCCTTCTCGGATCGTTCCATTTCCTTGATTTCAGAATTGAGTTCATCAAGAAACTCGTGAAATTTGCCGATTTCCACATCTTCAGACGACCAGCTTTCGCCTGACTCTGAGCCTGTGTCACTTTCCTCGACTAAAGCCCTAGCAGCATTGTCACTTTTTATTGAGGACATTGTCTCGCATTCCTTTGCTGCAACCTTTTAAAGCTTAAGTGGAGAGACCGCTACACTTCCTTTTTCACACACATTGTGTTTGTTCTCAAGTTCATTAGACGTTGCTGCTGTTAGCATTATCAAAGCCGATCTCTGAGTATGAACAAGCGCGACGCTTGAAAGTGTCGCGGCTACGCGCCTCCTCACACCCCCGGATAGCGGGCTAGTTTCACGACTTCTCTGCGGCAGGACCGCCGCCGTCACACGCGTCGAACTTCACGCCACCCTGAGTGTGGTGCCGGTGCGCCGCAGAGAATGTCGTGCCGGTCACCCACAGAATGACCGTGCAACTGCAGAGGCTGATCGGACCCGAGCAGCCAGCATACGGGCAGGTTCTCGCAGCCGGCTCGGGCTCACCTCTGGCGCACGGCTCCCCATCAGCGGCGCGAGGCGGAACGTTGGCACGACCGCTCGCGGCGCAATGTCAGACACCAGCAGTTCACCTGTGAGAAAAACGACACCGCACCGTCACACATGTAATTGTACTGTCTTGCAGTACCTATATTTAACATGAACGAATGATTAACAATGCAAAGCAAGATACGTAATCGCAGCTCCGCGCGGCTCAAGCGTCAGCTGCGACTCCCAGTCCCGCTCCGCGAGCCGGCCGTACCGGTGTCGTGTCACCGCCAGGCGGCAGCACTGGTCCGGTGACCCGACATCACGTGACATTGAGACACCACAGTAATGGCAGCACTGGTCCGGTGACCCGACATCACGTGACATTGAGACACCACAGTAATTTTCTAGCAATATTTTCGGTGCAACTGTGTCATAACGCTGCCAGACCTTGTGGTTTTCTGCATATGTCTCGAACGAGCATAGCGTCATGCATAACCGCCTCGCTGTTCCGCCCATACTTCCTCAAAGAAATTTTGTCCAAATGTTTAAATGGGTGGCTGCGAGCCCGGGTGCCTCGTTAAACAGCGCTCACTGCGAATGGTTACCCAGACCCAGCACCCGACCTTGCCCGCGCCCGGTGGCGAGTTACCTAAGTGTGGAACTACCCAGCGCCGAGCCGGCCGGATGACGTCACACCACGGCCAGTGCCGGCGCGGCGGCAGACTGGCCGAGATTGGCATGGTCTTAACTTGGCGAAGAGGCATCGGACGCCAAACTTCTGCTGCAGCTATTAATCACATTTCATGCGTTTCTTCCATGTGTATGAGCTATCAAGTCCTTCGAATACCTAATGTGTAGGTGAGCGTACCTGCATTTAGCAGTGTGTGCTATGCTATGTGGATGGGCACATCCGACAGTCGACACACTGCGCAATGGATTCCGATATTGCTTGGCTGATTCTGGCTTTGTGTCTTCGAACGAACCATTGAAAGGGAGGACGTCATTTTTAAAGGTTGTTAGGTGCACTCAAACGTTTTAAGATAAGCAACTGCTGATTGAATTTCTGGCGAGGGTTGGTGGAACGCTCTGTTTACAAATGAGTCCTACCTGCAGTGGCAAATAACTGGGTCGCGGTCAGTTAGGCATGATTCACGAAGTCCCTTATCTTTTATTAGACTTATTAAGCCCAATGTGCAACATTTGCGTCTTTTCGCGTTGTATCGGGTAGCAAATGAGAAAATCTGCTTCTTCTCCACAGCCCTCAATTCAAGAAACCGTCCTTTTCCTTATCGCATCATTCCAGAACATAATTTTCAAACATGGGTATCTTCCCCACAAAAAAAAAACTGAAGCAGTTTCCTTCGGCTCCAATGCGCCGCTCGCCCAGGGAGACGGAAGTGTTATATTCTCGGCGGTCCAGTCTGCATTCTGCAGCACACTCAAACTTGGCGGACCCCCAGCGCACGACTGAACGATTCGTATTGTTGTGAGTGACTGTGACAATCTACTGGTGGTTTCGGAATAATTAACAGGCGGCGCAGCCCAGTGCCTCTTACAATGAATTACAGTGGCGAATGCACTATTGCAGAGAAGAAATGGATTGAGCAGCTGCCCAACCTCGCTGTATTATCAACTAAACATTAGGTACGCTTTACATTTTAATCAGGCAATCATGTAAATAAACGACTTGCGAGTTGCGACCCTTCCGCCTTACATAACTCGGCAGAATGCCCCTGAGTCGGCTAAACTACACTGCATCTCTTCAAACCTTAAGTATTTTACAATTTACCACTCAGCTATGCAACAGGCTTATAATTCACTGCTCAAGTCTCAACCCCTTTTTCCCTATCATCTTTTTGGCACCGTCAATCGCCATCTGCGCTGCCCACTGTCCAGCAAATAATCCGGCCGTCTCCAGTTTTCTGGCAGGGGCTTCCAAACTCAAGCGAACTCGCCGAAGTTTCGCCATTCAATGCGCAGGATCTGTACAATTGAGTTTGAGAGCCTCTGGGTTGGCTCGGCGCGCCTGCGCCGCGCCGTTGGTCCGGCCAAGTACGCGAGTGACGTCATGCTATAAGCGTCATCCCCCGACCAAAGTCACCAATCAGAGCCCTAGAATCGACTTGTAGTTCCACACTTAGGTAACTCGCCGCCCGGTGATAGTTTATTCACAAGTTTCGTGCTTCACAGGTCGATGGCGGCACGGTCCTCTTGGGTCTAGATTGGCCCTCTCGCCAGTTGCCAGGTGCAACTCGCCAGGCGCGTGTGAAACGACCTGGAGCTCTCTGGCCGTAAACAATCGAACATATGCTCCATTAACAGACACAGTCACAGATGTACACATAACCCGCGTCCTGCTGATATCAGTCAAGACAGCCCACATTCAGCCCAGATTCAGCCCGAATTCAGCCCAGATTCGGGACACCTCAGATCGAGCTGAAATTCGCACACAATGTAGGCCGTGACATGCCCAATCAACTGTCCGAGGCATTTGGTGGCACTCCCAGCCGTTTGACCTACAGAAGTCAGCAAAGGTCACATGGCCCTAATTTGCACAGCAGTTAATGGCTCTTCCAGGTGGAGCTAGAGCGCTAAAAACGGCACCAAACGACTCGCAGGCATCTGAGCTTACTTTCTCGCTATAGCAATCCTCAAAACCGAAGTTTTTAGAAAAGTTACTACGCCTCATGGGCTGGATGGTATGCTTTGATTTGGAATTCGGTCGATCCTTGTACTCGAGAACCGCTGCGCAGATGTATTTTCGACATAGCCCGTACATGACCTTAGGTCAACGCATGACCGCGGGAGGTCAAATTGCTAGTGGGAAAGTAAGATCAGATGCTTGCGAGTCGTTTGGTGCCGTTTTTAGCGCTCTAGCTCCACTTGGAAGAGCCATTAACTACTGTGCAAATTTGGGCCACGTGACCTTAGCTGACCTCTGTAGGTCAAACGGCTGGGAGTGCCACTGAATAACTCGGACTGTGGATTGGGCATGTCACGGCCTACATTGTGTGCGAATTTCAGCTCGATCTGAGGTGTCCCGAATCTGGACTGAATCCGGGCTGAATCTGGGCTGAATGTGGGATGTCTTGAAAAACTTCGCATTTTACTTTCTTTTTTGCCGAAAAAAAAAGAAAGCCACGCAGAAGGACTGCGAAGATGGATTTTTGGTGACTCCGATTACGAATCGGGCACTGCAAAATTTACAATTCTAACTCCAACTCAGACTCCCGACATGCCGCATCACTTCAAAGTGATTCGTGACTCTAATGCTGTTTTGTTTGCCTGGATTTTTTTTTCTGGGTACAATTTAACACCCCATTCCACTGAGATTCAGCTCTGTGCTCCGTCCTCCGAGTCTTCGAGGGGCCGAGTCCGTGATATGAGCAACGATCGATACGAAAACTGTGGGGTCCCGTCTCGGCGCACTGAGATTCCACATTTCAGGGGGCTCACAATGCTCTTCAAGGCACTCAAACCCATGAACTGGAACAGTCTACGACTATCGGGGAGAGTCTGGAACGAAAGCTTGTCCGCGCTGCTGGCGGGTGTCGCTGCCGATTGTCAGCGCTGCTGGCGGGTGTCGCTGCCGATTGTCAGCGCTGCTGGCGGGTGTCGCTGCCGATTGTCAGCGCTGCTGGCGGGTGTCGCTGCCGATTGTCAGCGCTGCTGCTGGGTGTCGCTGCCGATTGTCAGCGCTGCTGCTGGGTGTCGCTGCCGATTGTCAGCGCTGCTGCTGGGTGTCGCTGCCGATTGTCAGCGCTGCTGCTGGGTGTCGCTGCCGATTGTCAGCGCTGCTGCCGGGTGTCGCTGCCGATTGTCAGCGCTGCTGCTGGGTGTCGCTGCCGATTGTCAGCGCTGCTGGCGGGTGTCGCTGCCGATGGTCAGCGCTGCTGCCGGGTGTCGCTGCCGATTGTCAGCGCTGCTGGCGGGTGTCGCTGCCGAGCACTGGGCTGTCGGTGGCCCCGTAAACCCCAGCAGACGCCACAGTTGCTCTAGCCACCCGCCGAGCCAACACAGCGGCCACAGATGGCCGAGGCAGCCGCACAGATCCGCACGGCGTGAATCGGCACCGCACAGTTCACCGCTGACATGCCCTACAGCCGAGAACGGAGACTCTGAATCCGGGACCGGACACTCATCAGCCGAGAATGGACACTCATCAGCCGAGAAGGGACGCTCTACCTACAGCCGAGAAGGGACACTTTACAGCCGAGAATGGACACTTTACAGCCGGGAATGGACATTCCATATCCGGGACCGGATACTCTACAGCCGAGAATAGGCACTGCGGCCGAAAATGGACACTCTACATGCCGCCGAGAATGGATAATACATATTACATTCTTCAGCCGAGAATGGACACTCTACAGTCGAGAATGGACACTCTAAAGCCGAAAATGGAAACTCGACAGTCAAATGGACACTCTACAACCGAGAATGGACGCTCGACAGCCGAGCATGGAGACTCGACAGTGGAGCCGGCGGCTACGTAACAATCTATGGCACGTTGAGCACATCAAAGTTTTCATGTGCAGAGAGAGAGAGAGAGAGAGAGAGAGAGAGAGAGAGAGAGAGAGAGAGAGAGAGAGAGAGAGAGAGAGAGAGAGAGAGAGAGAGAGAGAGAGAGAGATAGAGAGATATAGAGAGAGAGAGAGAGAGAGAGAGAGAGAGAGAGAGAGAGAGAGAGAGAGAGAGAGAGAGAGAGAGAGAGAGAGAGAGAGAGAGAGAGAGAGAGAGAGAGCAAGTAAGCAAATGAAGCCCAAGCCATCCCTACGAGCAATCAAAGAAAACGTATATTAAAACTTGAATGGTATATATGCACACAACCATGCTGATGTCGAGGCGATGCAATAATCAGCAAGACGGCCAAGCTGCACAGCCGAGGGGCCTGGCTGTTGCAAGTTGTCTTAGCTCACCTTAGGCTGGTGCGTGCCGGGAGAGACTGGCTGGTGAAGGGGGACGGAGTACCCGCGGTGGCCGCCGTCGCCGCTCCGCCCACAGAGCCACGCACGCGGCGCCCAGCCGTCCCCTCAGAGCACGGGGCGGGTTGGGCCCGCCACCGAGCCCGTCCTGCCGCCGCCACCACCGGGGAGGAGCTGGCCGGCCGGCCGCGGCATTCGCAGCTGCCACTGCCCTGAATACCGGCACGGTGAAAGGAAAGCGAGGCGGACCGGACCGGCGCGGCGGTGAACGGTGGCTCTACATACCGACCACACTTTCTTCGCCCCTGGTCGGAATCGGCTGCTGTGCTGCCGTCAGCCGAGATTCAAGACCCTGATTGGTTGAGATATTGATGACGTATCACAACCAGACATGTGCATGGATCTGAGAGGCGGATCTATGATCTCAGAGGATCTCTCGAAAAAATAAGAGGGGTCGGATTAGTTAGAGGGGTCGGATCAATGATCTCAATGGATCTCTGACAAAATGGAGGAGTGTGATCTATGATCTGGGCGGATCGTAGATCCAGATCCATGGGGTCAGATCTCGGATCCATATTTCGTGCACATGTCAGGGCCTCGGCTAAGGAATTTTGACTGGTGGGCCACTTGGGCAGCGACATGGACTGACCTTCGTAGCCATAGCCCCCCCCCCCAATTTTCGGTTTCTCCCCAGATTTCGGCCACTTTATTCTGCAAAAAACGTCAGGATGGCATTAAAAAAATGTATAAAAAAACGGGGCTCGACCCCCCCACCCCCCCCCCCCCCCCCACCCGACTCTTCAGAGAGAGAGAGAGAGAGAGAGAGAGAGAGAGAGAGAGAGAGAGAGAGAGAGAGAGAGAGAGAGAGAGGAGAGAGTAGGGACCCACAACCCTCTCAGTAGTGATACTCCCGCGGTGCACATAAAATCGCACAAGCACGGAATATATAGTCTACGACATATCGTAGTACATATCGACATATCAACATGTCGTAGACTATATATTCCGTGGCACAAGTATGCACACAATATTGACGCAGATTATAAAACGTTGGACGATAACTTACGGCCGTGAGTGGATCGCTCGCCGACTAGTCGGAGATTCAGAAGCGGTCGGACGGGATCGGGCGTTGTTGGGTGGATCGGGAGGAATTGTGAACAGCACGAGTGCAACTTTATATATAAAGTGGGTTGTAGCAGGAACCCCAAAAGGGGGTTGTAGCAGCAACCCCAACATCTCTGAAAATGATCATTAAGCCTATTGGTGTCGCATGGAAAATAATTGACTCAAAAGCCCAAGCGCACTGCGCAACCCTGATATTTTCTTTTTTTAAAAAAAACTAAGTTATGTACACGTTCACTTCTGGTGAACAGTGTCCCAAACTTCAGATTTCTCTTGGGTGTCTGAGTGGAAAATTCGAGCCGCCAAAATGTGAGAGTGGAAAATTATCCATTCTTATTCTTGAGTGTCATCTTCAGCCCAAATGAGAAATTTTTGGAACGCTGACTGTGAACGGTTCGAAATTCGTCCAACTGGTCAGATGTGTGACTGCAAGCATCATACCGGTCGTAAAGACGCATAATATCGCTTGCAGACTTCAATCGGCTGGAAGTCGCCGACACTACCTCTAGTTTGACTCTGGCCATAGTACTCTGGCTTATATCGTGTCTATCGGCGAGCCGTCTGAGATCGCTCGCAGGCTTATCCCCGACCGTCTGAACTGGTCTGTTCTTTATTCGTAGTTTTTCTTGTAACCGACTGGCCTCGGTCACACTTCACCGGATTGGACCAACGGACGAGAAACGGACGAGAACTGTCAGCGTCCGGTGATGTCCGTTTGTTTCCGTTGGACGTCCGTTTGTCATCCGTTAATATCCGTTCCATGTCCGGTGGTGTCCGGTTGAGCACACCGGACACCACCGGACATGGAACGGATATGAACGGATGAGAAACGGACGTCCAACGGAAACGAACGGACATCCCCCGGACATCACCGGACGCCGTCCGTTTCTCGTCCATTGGTCCAATCCGGTGAAGTGTGACCGAGGCTTAGTCCACTTAGTCCACTATAGTTCACTTTTTACCCCAAGAGGATATTGCAAACAATAGGTTGAATTTTTTCACAAGAATATGTTTCACCGATGGGTACTTTACAGCCTGAAAATGTACGATAAGATCTGCTAATTCAATTTGAAATGTGAAAAATGTGGAAACTTTGATTTTTCGGAAAATTACTGGTGGGCCAAATCTTTGAGGCTGGTGGGCCATTTCGGGTCACTGGTGGGCCACTTGGCCCACCAGTTAACATGTTAGCCGAGGCCCTGGCACATGTCTGATCACAACTTCCCGCGCTGTGACGTCATACCTCTGACAGCCAGCTTTTCGGCTGCTGAGTGAGGGCATGCAGCACTTCAGCTGAAATTCAAAGTGGCTCGAAAATGGCGCATGTAAGTCAAACCGCAACGTAAGAGTGCAGCTGTTTTTTTTATTCAATGTTTTTGACGTATTGTATTTAAAATTTCTCGTGAAAGATCGCAAAATTTTTCATGGTGAAATGTGCCTGAAAACAGCCTGAAAACAGTACAAATCGAAAAATTGACTCAGCGCCTCAGTTGCCTATCTATTCTGTGATTTTTTGCTATTGCCTCAGCAAATAAACATCAGAAATATAATATAAAGGAAGATAGTCGTTGAAAAAACGCAAAAATGCTACCTCTCATCAACCCTCTCTGGAGCTCCATCTTTGCATGGCTGACATTTGTTGTCAGCCGGTAGTGAATAAGCTTATAAGCAGCGCGGTATGCGCAGAGCTTACATAGTTATTCTCGACTGGCAAAATTCTGTCAGTCGATTCTGACTGGGGCCGCTTTCATTGCCGGGCAAGGCCCTATAGTATACACTGCCAATTATAGGGGAGAGTGGGGTAAGATGCCCAGGGTGGGAAAGACGCCCCACCCCCTCTAGCGCCAAAACAAAGAATCGAACCTGGAAACCCGCGTACTGACGGGGGGCGGATATCCGCCTCTCCCCTGAATGAAATTCATGAAATTCATGAATTCATGAAAAACATGAATTTGAGCACAAGCTTGCATCAGAGCTCAAATCAGATCCAAAGGCATTCTATGCTTATGCCAGGAGCAAGATGACAATAAAGGAAGAAGTGCTGACTGTAAAGAAGGAAAATGGGGAGATGACAACTAGCATGAATGAAACCTGTGAAGTGATGAATCGACGATTTCAGCAGGTTTTCAAGAAACCAGAGGGGACAGAACCACCAACATTGGAGACAGTTCTGGATGACAAGCTGGAGCAGTGTATCATTGACCCAGTGGAGGTAAGGGCTTTACTGCTTAAACAAAAGACACCATCAGCACCTGGCCCAGATGGAGTACACCCCATTGTGCTCAAGGAATGTGCCACTAGCCTTGCAGTGCCACTGTCCATCATCTTCTCTCGCTCAATTGAGTCGGGTCGCTTGCCTAAGGACTGGAAGAGGGCAAATGTAACACCCATCTTCAAAAAGGGGAACCGATCAGATCCACTGAACTACCGACCTGTTAGTTTGACCTCAGTGCCCTGTAAGATCATGGAGAAGCTGATTAGGCAGAAGATTGTTAACCATCTTGAGACAAACGACCTGCTTAGCCAACAGCAGCATGGTTTTCGGTCAAACAAATCATGCCTGACTCAAATGTTGGAGTACCTTTATGATGTTGAGAATGCTATCGATGAGGGGGAATGCGTGGATACCCTGTACCTTGACTGCCGCAAGGCATTTGACACTGTCCCACACCAGCACCTCATTGCTAAGGTACGAAGAATGGGCTTGGACGGACAAATTCTGCACTGGATAACAGACTTCTTGATTGGACGTGAGCAGAGGGTGGCAGTGCAAGGTTGCCATTCAGGATGGAGAGAGGTTTGGAGTGGAGTGCCACAGGGTAGTGTCCTGGGCCCAACCCTATTTCTGATCTACATTGACGATCTCCTGGAGGGCCTCCAGTCACGTGGGAAACTTTTTGCAGACGATGCCAAAGTTTACCGAAGGATAAGAAGCCCTGATGACCAGATTGTCCTCCAGGAAGATATTGACAGGCTGCAACAGTGGACCAAGAAATGGCTGCTTACCTTCAATGAAGACAAATGCAAGGTGATGCATTTCGGGACAAAAAATCCACTGTACACCTACTCAATGGGGGACACCACTCTTACCTCAACCATTAAAGAAAAGGACCTGGGAATCACAATAACGCCAGACCTCAAAGTATCAGAGCAGGTTACGAGAGCGGCAGCTGCAGCGAACTCCATGCTGGGAAGAGTGAAGAGGACATTCACCTTCATGGACAAGGAAATGTTCCTGCCAATTTACAGAACACTGATACGCCCTCACATGGAATATGCCATCCAAGCTTGGTCCCCGTTTCTCCAAAAGGATGTCAACAGGTTGGAGAGGATCCAAAGGAGAGCGACAAAACTCGTACCTGAACTCGCCAATCTCCCTTACCAAGATCGTTTAGACCAACTGAAACTGACATCACTGGCAGATCGAAGGGTTAGAGGGGACATGATTGAAGTCTACAAGCTGGTCCATGGACATGACAAGGTGAATGCTGGAGAAGAGTTTTTGAAACTAGAGACCAGTACAAACAGGGAAAGGACACGCGGACATGCTCTCAGACTGCAAAAGCCAAGGCATCGGCTGCACAGACGCAATCAATTTTTCTCCTCAAGAGTTGTGGACCAGTGGAACCAACTGCCTGAACATGTGGTACTGAGTCCAAGCATCAACGCATTCAAGAACAGATATGACCGTCATATGACACTGAGAAGAGGCAGCATCCTATGAGCATCCGCTCCCTATGCCTCTTTCCTATCTACTATGGTGAGCATCTACTATCTACTATGGTGAGCATCCCCCTTGAGATTTTTCGCGGATAGTGGGAAAACCGCGGCGCGTAGCGCCGCGAAATTTTATACGACTATTCTCTCATCAATTTTACACATGGTGTGCAAGTTTGATCCTCATAACTTTAAAGGTCAGGTCACCAGGTCACTTTGAATGACCCAACCTCAAGTCACTTTTTTGCAACTTTGTCACCGTGCCAGAGCTACAGTAGATGTCGGAGGCCTTTGAAAGTCGCAGGACGTTGTA